GAAGAAGCTATTCACTATACTCTGCTACAATGCACACCACACCCAAATATCAACATGAATAATACACAATTTTCCATTTTTGTGGGGAGATTTCCAGAATGGATCCCTGCGAAAACCGGCAGAGGACTGTATTATATTTTCATCTGTACTGAACCCTGCCTCAAGCCTTAGGTAGAGGCAGGTAAGAAATAAAATTATTATTATTATTATTATTATTATTATTATTAAAGGGTTTTTCCTTACAACTGACTTATTTACTTCTCAGGGAGATATAAAATAAAGTATTCAATTAGCAGGATTGCTGGTGTTTCAAGAATGTGCCTTTCTACTCATCTATAAAGTATGAATACATTAACATCTTCTTTCTTTCAACTACTGTAGTTAAGCATATCTGCCATAGTTTCAATCATTTAATAATAATTTTATTTTCATCAGTCTATATTACGCAACTATGAGATTTACTGCAATATTAATATCTGTATAGGGGGGGGGGAACATAGAAATAAGAGCACTAATGTATTTTCTACCAGAGGAACACTATCTGATTAGAACAACCATAATGTTGGAAGGCTTCTTCATGTTACTTTTTACAATACCAATTCTGGGTCAGTACACGGCGAAAAGTAACAGAATAAAGGGAATCAAGAAACTCAAGCACAGCTCTACTGTGTTCTGTGTCACCTCTCTGGGCTTCTATTTCTTCCTATTTTAAAAATAAATTATACTTGCAAATACTGAAATTATAAACTCTTTGACATTTGCAAATGAAAAACACTCTCCTTTTTATTGCACAGGTACATAAAAATGAAAAATTGCTAAACAACCTCATTTTGAGTACAGTGTGTTTTTATGAACTGCCTGCATCTGAATTATGAATAAAGAACCTAGCCACCCAGACTTTGGAAGCTAACTTGGTGGAAACCTCTTTGGATGGTTCAGTAGATCCTGTTTGTTGAATGCTTTGTATAGTTAAACAGCTAGAATGTAAATTTCAACTCCCTGAAAAATCTGCAGGCTTTTCCTAAGCAATCTAACAGCCAAAATCATTCTTTTCAATTGAAGTAGGACTGAGAACTCATGCTCGCAAGAAAAACACTCCAATCAAAGTGTCATCCTCACCTCCATATGAAGCACTTGTTGTAACTGAGTGAACCCCCCCCCAGGGTAACAGAATCCTGTTGCTTACAAACTTATTTTACCAAAAATTATTACAGAAGTAAAAAAATTAGATCACCACCCTCCACTGTGAACTAATGTTTTTTTCCCCTTAGGATTTATAACAGAGCAGGAGAAAATGAATATGAGGAAGCTTGCTAGCAATGAGTGAGGAAAACAGATGGGCAATAGTAAGCTAGCATCTGGAGACCTACTGGCAAGAAGAAAATGTTGATGTTGTGTAAGCGCAGCTCCAACTGCCCCTCACCACTGTTTATGCTTGCTAGGGTTTATGGAAGCTGCAGTCCATTGAAAACTAGAAGGCCATACATCTGACATACAATGAATACAAATTTCAGATGAAGTAAAATATGTGAGACAAGCTTAAGACAAAACAATGAAACCATGATAGAAGTGGAATATGAACTCGTAACTCCCTGATCCAAGTCCAACTCTCTAGTCACCTGCTCATGTTGGCTCTTAATAACTGACATAAACAGATTTTGCATGATTAATTCAAAGACTAATTTCTCAATATTTCTTCTGTAAACTCAAGAAGAGAACAGCACTTTAAGTTATTTCTCACTTACTGTACTAGCAGGTCTCCTGAAGTGAATGTGTTTGTTAGCCACCTGAGTCAGTGTATATGAAAAGAATTTACAATCTAAAAGGAAACTGAAGGCTTACTTGAATGCACACTGAAGACATTCCCACATAACCTCCCCACACAGTCTAGGAGGAACAGATGACATTCTGTGGTCACTAGGAGTGCATTTGCAGTTAAAACCAGTGCATCAGCTGCACCCATTTCTTGAAAAGTCAGATCTAGCCATGGTAACACATGCTTTGATTATGTCTTGGTTGGGTTACTGTAACATGCTCTATGTGGAGCTATCTTTGGAAACTGAAAACTTCAACAGGTTCAAAATACTGCGGCTAGACGGCTGACTGGGGTTGGTTACAGGAAGCGTAAAACTCCCTTGCTGAAACAGCTTCAGTGGTTGCCAGTCCACTTCTGGGCACAATTCAAAGTGCTGGCTTTGACCTATAGACTTAGTTCTAGACTATCTGAAAGCCCCATATGAATCTGTTCAAGTCTTAGGAACTTACAAGGAGCCCTGATGGTGCAGTGGTTAAATGCCGGTACTGCAGCCACAAGGTTGTGAGTTTGATCCCAGGGCTCCAAGGTTGACTCAGCCTTTCATAGGTTAGTAAAATGAGTACCCAGCTTGTTGGGGGCAATTGGCTTACAGACTGTAAACTGTTTAGAGCAGGGGTAGGCAACCTTTCCCCTTTAAGGGCCGAGGGACTTCAGCTCCCAGAAGCCTCAGCCATGTTGGCCAATAGTCCCATGTTGTCCAATAGCTCCTGGGATTCTGGGAGCTGAAGTCCCTCGGCCCTTAAAGGGGAAAGATTTCCTACCCCTGGCTTAGAGAGTGCTGACTCCACTGATAAGTGGTATAGAAATGTAAATGCTATTGCTATTAGGAACGTCTGAGGAGAGCCTTCTCTCCATTCCACTGCCCTTCCAGGTTCAGACACAGAACAGAGCTATCTCAGAAGCTGCTCCTAGGCTTTGGAATTCCTGCCAAAAGAAGGTTGGTCTTTCTCTTCTCTGCTATCTTTTCACCAGCAAGCAAAAACTTTATTTTAAATAGACCTTTAGCCTTGGCTGACCAGGGTGAAGTGAACTGCAACTGGCTGTACTGTTTTTAGTATGTAATGTGTATTTTAATTCTTTTGTGTTCTGAAAGTAGTGCTTTAATTGAATGTATGGTTTAATGCTTTTTCTTTTATACTCCATAAGGTTTCAGATATTCTGGTTTAATTTATACTGCAAGCCGCTTTGAGTACCATTTGAGAGAAAAGTGGGATATAAATAAAATATAAATAAATAAATAAATAGGTGTTTTCCCCCTACCCCCAAACAAGTTTGGCAGTCCCCTAAGCCACACACAAAAACTGTGCCACTGAATATTGGCAGCAAACCATTAGAAATTCAGTGATATGAAAACTCCATTTAAAACATCTCCAGCTTACTGTAATACTTTCTGTTGAAATTGGGCAGAACCACTTTCTCAGAAAGCTGCCCCATGGCTTTGGAATTCCTGCGAAAGGGAGGTTGGTCTGTCTCTTCTCTACTATCTTTTCACCAGCAAGCAAAAACTTTGGTCCAAAACACACTGCAGAAATAATCCACTCTGAGACTGCTTCAACTGCCCAGGCTCAATGCTAGGGAATTCTAGGAACTGTAGTTTTGTGAGACATTTAGCTTTCTCTCTAAGGGGGGTTGCAGACTGCCAGAAAAAGTGCAAATTCAGTCCACTTTTAGGGTTAGGGTTAGGGAATCATGGGAACTGTAGTTTATTGTGGCACTAGAGCTCCCTGACAGAGAAGGCTCAATGTCTCAGAAAAAAAACAATTCCCATGATTCCCTAGCTCTAACCCTAACCCTAAAAGTGGACTGAATTTGCACTATTTCTGACAGTCTGCAACCCCCCCATGAGAGCTCTGGTGCCACAATAAGCTACAATTCCTGGGATTCTCTAGCACTGAGCCAGGGCAGTTAAAGTGATCTTAGACTGGATTATTTTTCTACTGTGTGTTTTGGACCTTTGTCAGCACAGCAGCAGCTGTGGCAGCCCAACATAGGTCCTGAATGCACCAAAGCTGCCTACTCTGACAGTATAATATTGTTGTAAAATTCTTTTAGGAGGGTGGAAGGAGGGGCATCTTGTCAATCATTCTGATACATTTAAGTCTCTGGGCTGCCACAAGGACAGTATGCAAAATGTGCTGTTTTATAATCCACAAAGTTTGAATTCCCTATTGAAAGGAAGAAGCTCTCTACTGACTCCACTCAATATGTGGCTCAGGGCCAGCTTCAAGGTAGAGAGTCAATGCCACAAAATACAAATTTCCTGTGTGCTTTTTCTTCCCATCCTCAACATGAGCAAATACCCTAAGCATGTAGCACAAAGTGGACAGAAGATCACCACACTGACTTTTTTCTTGTCAAAATGTCTTCTGAAGAGGATCTTTGGCTTTCTTGATAAGAACATCACAACATTTCAGGGGGCAGGAGGAGAGACTAACATGCAGATAGTCTAAAACAGCACTTCCCAAACTTTGGTCCTCTAGCTGTTTTGGACCTCAACTCCCAGAAGTCTAAGCCAGCTGCACCAGCAGTCAGGAATTAAGTCCAAAACATCTGGAGGACCAAAGTTTGGGAAACACTGGTCTAAAAGATGGGAGCAAGGTAACATTGTATACTGCAGCATATTCTACTTTTTACCAAGTCATTCACCAAACCTCCATTGATCTGAGGTGGGATCAAGCCTTAATAACTTCAGCCCAATGAGATAAACAAACAAACAAACAAAAGCTAATGGGTAAAACTCAAGCTTTGTTCATTGTCAGAGAAGATCAACTGAAGTAACTGAAACATACGTTAGTCATAACTTGCCTCACTGATTTCAAATGATCTCATGTGTGTTTTCAAGTTGTTTCTGACTTATGGCCACCCTAACACAAGCATAGCAGAGTGGTTTGAATGGCTCTGGAGACCAGGGTTTGATTCCCAGCTCAATCATAAAACCCACTGTGTGACTTTGGGGAAGTCACATGCTCTCAGCCTCAGGAGAAGGCAATGGCAAACCTCTTTTGAACAAATCTTGCCAAGAAAACCATGTGATAGGGTCACCATAAGTTGGAAACAATTTAAAGGTACACAACAACAACAAAGACAACTCTATCAAAACTTAACAAGTTTTGTTCAGATGGGATTTGCCCTCCTCTGAGGCTGAGAGCATGTGATTTGCCCAAGGTCAACCAGTGGGTTTCCATAGCTAAGCAAGGATTTGAACCCTGGCCTCCAGAGCCCTAGTCTAACACTCAAATCACTACACCACACTAGCTCACTTTAATTGGTCTACTCAAAGACTAACAACGTGCGGAATGATATCAGCATTCCTTCCCACCCACCCATGTACAAATTGTTACTTCACTAGCAGGCATCAAAGCATAGAGGTATGGCGTGTGCCCTTAGCACATGAAACAGCAAGATCAAAAGTTAAGCATATTATAAATAATTAAACATTAATCACAGAGATAGCTACATAAAGTCTCAAGACAACCTATATGCCCTTTTCCTTCCTCTAAAACTGACCAAAAGTTAAACAGTCTTTAGTGTGAGAATTTTCCAGATCGACATAATTGCCAACTGCCTCTGGGGAAAGGTTCAAGCAAAAAACCATCTGAGTAACAGCTGGAGCTTAGCCTTAGGCTTTAATGAAACTCCCATTCCCCCTCAAATAAAATCACAGCATTTTTGGCTAAACCAACTAAAACTGACAAAAACAAGCCTATACTGTCTAACCTGGGACTTTCCAGATGTGTTGGATTGTAACTCACATCATCTGCACCAGGGGTAGGCAACCTTTCCCCTTTAAGGGCCGAGGGACTTCAGCTCCCAGAAGCCTCAGCCATGTTGGCCAATAATCCCATGTTGGCCAATAGCTCCTGGGATTCTGGGAGCTGAAGTCCCTTGGCCCTTAAAGGGGAAAGGTTGCCTACCCCAGATCTGCACCAACAAAGCAATAACCCAACAAAAACAGAGGGCAGCAGGTATGGGATAAAGCTCCAACAAGGAGCTAATATGATTCATGTAGCATTTGAGATGACACGCCCAAAACAAAATGTTTCTTTTCAAGATCTTAGTTCTCCCAGCAAATCATATAAACTCACTACACCTCCCTCACAATTTAACCTCTCTGAGGGACACAGAAGGTCACTGAAATTAACATACAGGTACTAGTGTGGTGTAGTGGTTTGAGCACTGGACTACGACTCTGGAGACCAGGGTTTGAATCCCAGCTCGGCTATGTAAACCCATTGGGTGACCTCAGGCAGCCACCCTTTGAATAAATTTGCCAAGAAAACCACTTGATAGGGTCACCGTAAGTCAGAAATAAGTTGAAGGCACACAACAGCAAACACATAAAAGAAGTACAGCATACTTTAACTGTATTCATTCTGAAGGATGTTCAATCTTATTGTGTGTAAAATCTAATACCTTCACTATGTTCAAAATCCAAACTCTATTATCAAACTGATAACTTTTTAAGATGCAGGATCACTACAACATCCAAGTAATGGTACTCAGAAATATTCGCCATTATGAAAGACAATCAACAAGAGCCTGAGCAGATTCAAACATCAAAGGGTACCATATAATCACTGCCTATGAATTACATGCATCATCCAGTTTCTCAAACTTATCTAGCAGCTATCCAGGAAGAAACCTAGGGAACATGACCACTCTATCTCACCTGCGTCATGGGAAGCCAAAGCCCTCAACATCTTGCCAGCACTGCGACGAATTTGTTTTTCTTCATTACACAGCATCTTCATCAACAGGTCCAGAGCACCTGTCTCTTTGAAGACACCTGTCAAAGAGCCAATACTGGCATAGGCACTGAGCACATGGATGGTGTTCAAGATGGAAGACTCTGGGCCTGTTGTCCTAGCCATTTGCCGAGCAGCCCGCTGTACTAGGTTCCTGACATCAGCCTTCATTTCACGCAGGGAAGCTTCATCCACTGTGACATCAGATGGAAATGTACTGCTGGGTGCTTTTTCCTCCTTTACCCACTGCCCCTCAGGTTTCCTCTTACCCAGCAGTGTGGGGCAGTTAGCATAAACTTCCTCTGCTGACATCCACATTAGAATATTTTCCGTCTTGCTCTCAGTAGATGCAGCATTGGTGCTGTTCCCTATACTGTCATCTAGGCTAAAGATGTTCCAGCGAATCAGATATTCAGTGTGTCCATCATGACCACGACGCTGTCGAATTAACTCCTCAGGATAGGCTTGCAGCTTAGGCCCAAGGTGCACCAGCAGGTTTCCATTCCGCCTTTCGCCCACCATGATGGAAACAGATCTATAAACAAAGAGGGGGGGAAAGATTAGGCTCCCAGGAAATGCCCAGAAATTCCATATCTGGCAATCTTTATCAGTCTAGAGGCACTGCTCTGTTTTAAGTAAACAAGTTGCTGTAGTGCAAAGTGTTTGTCATCCCCACACCTGTGGAATATTAAGCAGAAAAACTCTCCCAGACATTCCTCTTAAAAGGAGCCGACACTTCATTAACACATATTTTGAAACACTTTGCTCCAAGTAATTCAATTCATACACCTGCTGATGTGGATGACAATACTGCAAAACACAATACTCTGTGGATTATAGAACTCCAAAATACAGAACAGTTCTGTATTTACATATTTTTCAGGATCCCTTACAAGCTCCTTGCCACAATAGATTTCTAAAGAAACCAAAGGTTCCAACCACCCAATATTATGAACGATTCTTCAAAGCAGCTTCATTTATATATCACTTCTACCGTGCTATGGGGTGTCTAAGCAGATTACAACTGTAAGCTCATTGCCCCCTAACAGTTGGGTACTCATTTTAGCGACCTCGGAAGGATGCAGGCCTGAGTCTAGCCTGAGCCCTGGCTAGTATTGAACTCGCAACCTTGTGGTCTATGAGTGAGTGGCTGCAGTACAGGCATTTAACCACTGTGCCACCAGGGCTCCTTCTTCAGACAGAAGCCCCACTAAGGTCAACTCCCAATTTGGGGTTTCCACCTCTTAAAGGTAAAGGTATTCCCCGTTGTCAAGTTGTGTCCGACTGTAAGGGGCGGTGCTCATCTCCATTTCTAAGTCGAAGAGCCAGCATTGTCAGAGACTACTCTGT